GGTAATGCCTAGCAGCCTGGTCTTTTGTTCGGAGTACGGTCTTTTGTTACAGGGCCCTGTTTCCTTTGTCTGAGTTTGGAGACCCCGGCCACGCATATAAACCATACGTCTCCGATCCCGGAGTCCTCGGCAGGAAGTGGTTAAACACCAGCCTTGTTTTATCCATGAAGCATTCTGTAGCCTCAGACTTCCTGTTCAACTCACATCAGGCTATTTCGGCCCAAAAGATCCTTCACTTGAAATTTTTCTGACTGTATGAAAGAAAATGCACCTTCAGTATTTTGCATGTGAAGTACATATTGCACAGTGGGTGTTTAAGGGGTGGGCATTGCCCCCTTTTCAAAAAAAGTTGGGGGGGGGACAAAACACAGGAGGAAAGGGGATGAAAACCACCAACTTGCAGGAAAATACCTGAGAATTGACCCCCCTTCTGTTGTGGATGGTTTGTAAGTTTGCTCTTGCAGAGTTCTTTGCCCCCTTTCCCTACATAGAGCTTCGCCATCTTCCTGGTCGTGCCAACATGCAAAACAGTAGATTGTAATGCAAAAACCTGTGTGTTGTGTTTGTTACAGTGTCATTCCATGTTCTCCCTGCTTGGCCTCAACCACACCTATGTGACAACTCTTGGACGACTGGTTGGTGTGGTTTCTCTCAAAGAGGTATGCTTTCCTTCATTATGTATTCATTTTGTTGTTATGTGCACAGCGTTTGCCAAAAGTGCCAAGGCATTACTACCAAGAGCAGCGGACTTAGGTCAGCTGCAGTCTTTGTTTTTTTCCCAGCAGAAGTAATCCCCAGAAGATAAGTGAAAGCAATGGCATGTTGCCTACAACCCTGTACCTCTTAGTACACACCGTGCATCCGTTTGCTGGTCTCAAAGTCCTTGTTACCTGACTAGCTGGATTTGGAAGGCATGTTATCCTTGTCCTCTTTACTCTGTGTGAGGGCCTTTTTATCCTCTTCCGTCACTATTAACACCCCCGTTTTTGCTGTTTGACAGATAAGGCGAGCTATTGAAAGGTCCGCGGAGAGCAACAACCGTGGCTCCTTCAGGAGAAGTCAGACGGAGGAACCACAGAACATCATCCAGGCAGAAAGGTCTTCAAGCTGACTTCTTAACAGCCAAGAGAGTATCTGAATAACCTGGTCCTGACTTGCCCCTCTCACCTAATACACCCCAACCCCAAGCCCTCCCATGCATGATATTCCTCTAAATATCCAAACATCTTCCATATCCATGGATATACAGGTGTTTAGTTAGAATGTAGTAGTGATGAAATGTTGCCAAACTTTGTAGCTCTTGAGAGTATTTTGAGTTTGTATTGAATAGTTCAAATATCGCCTAGGTTCATTGGGTAGTCATATATACCTGATTGTTTATTGAGCTACTATAAGGATACTTTGAAATATAAGTATTTTGAAAATATCTCCAAACAGTCCATCTGCTATTTGTACATTGCAATGAAAGTTATTGATGCTGTAGGATATGTGTTTCCATATGTTACTACAATTTATGTTCAAGCTACTTTGCATGTATAAACTTTATGGAAAAATACCAGAGGTTCATTTGGCCTTAAGCACTGAGTGTAACTCAACAAAGATACTTGGGCACATCAGTAGTAAGTTGATAAAATTTGAATTTAATCTTCCATAAATATCAAATGACGGCCCAGATGCTTTCTTGGCTGATACCGAATGTGTGTAATGAAGTACTTGCCAGCGAGGGATAAAATAACGATTTTACTTTTAATATTTTCTGTAAATTCTACAAGACATTTTGAAGGATAATGGTAGAGTTGTTGAATGCTTCTTGTGGCCCTTTTCACCCATGTTAACAAAATAGGACAGCCCAAGAATGATGTTAATAACCATAACAGCACATGACATGATCAGAATAGGCAGAATCTCTGGTTCTTTGTAAACTTCCACATGAGGATGGAATTCTGCTTATCGTGGAAATTCACAAGTCAACCAAGCTTCATTCCAGTTGACTGGTTTTTGCTTTACTCTCCATTTGGAAGCTGTAAACTTTGGTTTCACTGCTTGACAATATGTTAGGCAGACACTTTCTTAGGCAGTCCAAAATGTGATTGGTGTGTCTGTTAATGCCATGTGAAAAGGGTCAATACCAGATAACCCACCGGTGTTGATTAACCATATCCTTCCAGGAGCCCGTTTTCGGGTACCTTGGATTTGTATGCATAGCCGGGGTACCCGAAATCGGACAAAAGAGCTTCTGCCTTGTCACAAAAGATCATACTCGGGAACAAAAGACAGAGCTGCTGGGAATTGCCATCATTTTTTCAGTTGTCAATAGCTGAGGAAATCCGTCTTGTTTTGAAAGAATTATACCACTGTTTGTGGCATTCAGCGTAAGCGGATTACCACCGGGGACAAAAGCGCTCCAGAGATGAGAGCAATACAGTACCACTGCACGCTAATCTGGCCCGTACTGAAAAGACACCAGAAACACACTGTGCCAGTTTTGGGAACAAAAGAAACTTATGTTACACCCCACAATGTGGGCGCTTTTTACAAGGTGGCAGGCCTGTTTGAAATACTCTGACATCAATAGATGTTGTCTGTCTGATTAAAGTAGACACCAGACAAACACTCCATGGGGTATGGGGGTTCAGGAAAAAAAAAATTGAAGATTTTTGAAAAACTGCCCGTATGTAGGCACTGCACCCAGCAGGAAATGGTTAAGTGGCTATTCAGTAGGATGATCATTTTGTTTTTGGTGTTGTTGTGTACATGACATTAGGTAGAAATGATTGTTACTATCAAATAATTCATATGGTTTTGGTAGTCGCAGCTACATTATGCAATGGTCAGTGTGGTAATGATGTGTCATTTAGTGCAGTCAGACTTGCACACAGTGCAGCCTGTACAAACTTCATCACTGCTGTGATGCGAGTCCCTAGTGGTGTGTGTTGTGTGGTCATTAGTAAAGGCTGGTTCATACTTGGCATGAAAGTGAACACAAATGCACATTTGTTAGCACTGTGAATTCACAAAAGTTGAACACAATCAACCTGAGCTGAAGTTGGCTGCAAATCTTTGGTGACATTAAATTGGCTTTGCTTTCACATTTGCCTGTAGTATGAACCAGCCTAAGTCAGTTTAAACAGCTTTTGATTCATAAGATGTGCAGAAACCCATGCTTGTTTGTATCATTGTAATGTACAGTTACCAACTGTAAGTATGTGATTATGAATAAAGTGTGATGGACTACCTTGATTGTGCTATTGTAACAAAGCTGTACAAATTGTAAAAAAGGGAAATATTTTTGATAAGATAGACCATCAGTCAAGAACACAAATCTTGAAGGTACAGGTAGATTAAACATTTCATGATCTAGTGGATGTACAGAATTGTAAACCAGAGGTGGACAGTATCATGGAACTTCATGGAACTTTAAATACAATGATATGAAACCAGGTGGGTGTTTGGGAAATAGGATGAAGTAATGATGTTGTCGGACAGGATTTAAATAAATGATGTTTGTCTTTCCTGACATTGTGTTAGCATTCAGATATCTGAACCAGGTAGTAAGAACTCCTGGGATTGAGGTTGCCTGGGTTAGCTGGTTGTGTATCCTGTTGGTTAGCGTTGGCTCTGTGCTTGGTATACAGACTTGTCATCTCACCCCACTTTTCCTCTTTTTTTGCCCAAGAGTCTAAATATACCAACATCATACATGAACCTTTAGATATGGACCCAGGGTTAGATGAGGTTTTAGTTCCTGCCCTCCTTTTTCATGAAATTAACTCTGGAACTTAGTTTGGACAGTTCCGACTTGCTTTTGTAGTGAAGGGCCGATACCAAGTAAAGCACACTGTTGTCACATAAAAAAAGGAAGTTTTTTACCAGTAAATTCACCTGTATCGTTAAAGAACTCTATCAATATATGTGTTAAAACCAAAGCGGAAACAACTATGTGGTAAAACTTTAAAAAAGTGTCTCCTATGCGTCCATTATAAAAAGCGTACTTCGTAGCTGAAGCAGCTTGCCTATATGCGGCTCATTTAAATGTACGTCCAAGAAGTCTTGTCCAATAAACATTCCAAATTTATTTTATAACAGAGCTGGATATCTGTGGATAAAAGTGAAGTTACACTGAATATATTGTGTGATTATTGTTTCCTTTTATTCTTGAGCCATTAACTTAGTATCTGAGGCTGCATGTGTTGTAGAAGTGTGTGGTTGACAGTGAACCATGGAGTCCAATTGATACGTAAAATGTATCCTGGATGAATTGTATTGTGTATTTGTCCAAATTTGGTACAGAGAAAATGGTTCACTAAATGCCAGAAATGTGGTTATAACCAATTGTGATATTGTAGTGGTGATGTTTATTAATAAACAAAGAACATGAGACAGTATCAGTTGCAAAGTGTTTGTTTTCTTACAGTGAAACATCAAGACTGTTGTATGACCTCATATAACATAAGCAATACCAATGAACAGCTTCCTGTGTTGATAATGAAGCAACCTTGCTACGTGTTGGTAAAGGTGGTAGATACTTTGGCAGAGTAATAGGTAGACCATCTAACTACGTACTTGAATATTGCCCATAATGTTTATGTACCATTTTCCACTTGTGCCAAGGGATTTTTGTATTGAACTCCACTGCAAATCTTGATTTGTCGAGTACCGGGAGGAATCACAGCAAATCTGGTGAAGCATTGGTAAGTTAATGAGCACGGTACATGGGAAATTTCACAATGGGGTTTGTGCTGAAAGTAGTTCACTTGAAGGGGGTGCGGTGATTAAATAACAGACATTAAAAACCAAACAGCTGATGCCACAATTGTTTTGTTGGCCAGGTGCACATATGTGAAGCATTTATTTCACAAATTAAAAAAAAACTGCCATGTAATGTTATAAAATAGGGCAGTGGACCAGAGAATTCACTAAAGCTTGGAGGACATGACTCATTTTTATATCACTCCCACATACTAAGGATTTATAAACAATGCAGTTGAATCCAGTATTCATCGCAAAAAGCCAAAAATATGCAGCATATACATATGACCCACTTACTGGAACACTGTGCAACAGGTCACAAAGTATTACTAAGGTAATATCCAATGTAAAGAATGTTCACACTTGGCACATGCACACCAAAAGATCAAAAAAAGGAAAGAACTTTTGCAAACAGATCAGATAACAGATATGAAAGGGGAAAAGACAGCTTCCGCCACCTTAAATGCCTGGGGCTATCATAGAATAAACACAGACTATTTTTACTTGACTAATAAAAAGCCATCCCAAACTTGGCCTTTTCAATCACGTTAGGAAAACTGGCAGACTGAGACCTATGTAAGGTGTTGTTTATTTTAAAAAATGGTTAAATATGACAGACTAAGCTAAAACGGAAAAGAAAGAAAATATGCCAAGACTAGCAAAACTCCTTGAGTCTACGGGTACATACACTTCAACAAACAACTTCAGTCAAGATGGAACATGATAGTCAAGATGGAACATAGTTTTAGTAATTACTTCCTTGTAATACTTCAGGAGTTTAAATATTATACAAAGCATAATCAATCTTTAACATTTAACTCCCTTTTTCGTTTTTCTTTATCCAAATTTTTTCGGTACAAACCTTTAGAAACATGTAGAAAAAATAAGATCCACATATTTACATCCGTCTATATACAAACCACCTCATGCTTCTCCACTTATTATCAACAACATATTTATCTTGCACTAAGAAAGAACACATTAGAAGGTTCTCTTCTTGGTATAAGATAACTTCTCAACCATATCTTTCAATCTGATACTGCCCTTCAATGAAAACAGGCAAAAGATGACATAACTACAAACTTTTGAAGTTTGTAACCACAAGGTCAAAACTTATTTGATGTTCATGGCAATCACATCAATGGTAGGACCATTAACCACTTGCTGCTGGGGTTTCCTGAACCGGACGCCTTGGGTTTATATGCATAGCCAGGCTGCCCAAAATCAGACAAAAGAACTGGGCCTTGTAACTCGGAACAAAAGACCAAGCTGCTGGGAATTGCCAACATATTTTCAGTTGTCAATAGCAGAGGAAATGATTATACCTCTGCTTGTGGCATTCAGGGCGAGTGGATTACCACTGGCATGACCGGGGACAAAAGTGCCCCAGCGCTCCAGGGATGAGCGATACAATACTGCTGCACGCTAATCTGGTCCGCATTTAAAAAGACGCCAGCAGAGCACTGGGCCAGCTTCAGGAACAAAAGAATATTACGTAACACCACACAAACAGGGCTCTTTTTACAAGGCGGCGGGCCTGGCTGAAATACTTGGGTGTCAATAGATGTTGCCTGTCAGATTAGATTAGCCACCAGACAGTCATTCGTGTTGGTGTAAAACATCCAGTAATTGGAGTTATGAATTTTTGAAGAATTTTGAAAAACCCCTGGGTATACGTCATGCAACTTCAATTAAACCTGGCAGCACATGGTTAACAAACCCTGATTGCTACATGTATCTACTGCTCAAAAGAAACTGACAAGAATTGAAACATAAATCAGAAAAACCATCATTCCCCATACCATTTAAATGACACATTTACGCACTAAACTAAGCCGCTGTTTTGTTGAGGCAACAAACCAACACATTAATTAGTGTTAAACTGACCGTTAAAAAAATAAATCTTATGCGGTATGGCTGTGAAAAGAACAGGTTGCATCGATTTTATAAAAAAATGGGCTTTGTTAATTGACAATCTTCAAGAGACAAAATCAGCCTCCTGAATACAAGCACAGCCTGCTATTGTTGAGTCACCTCGTTCTTCTCAGAACCAACAACTCCCAAACAAGGAAAAGAGACACAATGTGATGACTTTGATTCTTCATAAAACTCTTCAAGGCTGAAATGTTTTACAATTAAGACTATTTCACTTGTTTTTCAAAGTGGAGGAAATGATGTTGAGGTTGACCTGGGTCAAACAATGACTCAACATTACTTCCAAAGTTTTAGTCAAGTCCATCACAAGTCAATGTAATCGGAAATCTCATCATAAAGAATGGCAAAGAAAGACAGACATGCCTTTGTCACTGTTTGTCATGAATACTGGTAGCCTGGGAATTGACACTGATCTGTGATGCACTGGTGAAAAATAACACACAGTATTTTTGACAAAAAAACTAAAAATGCTACAAGTTTATCTTAAAGACCTTACAAAACAACCAATGTTTTTTCTTATTTTTAGTTTAACATTAAAGTACATTTATTCAAAGCACACATTACATGCATATGAAGACACACCTGTACATCTACATGTAGATAATAATGCCCATACTTGGTCACCATTCAAGTTTCGGGCAAGTTGAAAATGTGCGTACGTTGTAAAGAAGGTGTTTGAAATCTTTATTAAAACAGTTCTTACCAATGACAGCACTAGTTCACAGCATAAGACAAGTGTTTCAAACACTGATACATTACAGTTTAACAGCTTTTGAAGTTTTTTTCTTAAAGTTTTCATCTTTTGTCTCACAAACCTTAGAGGCAGAGTTGCCATCAAGCATTTTTTGAGTAGCAAATCAACTGTCTGTGTCTCTCTGCATTTGCAATGAACAGCCCTTATTTGGTGGGGAAAGAAGTACCCAAGACGTGCTTGACAACAACAGTGCCAAGAGGTGTTGACCATGTTTTTTTTTAACATTCACACGATAGGCTGGAATCCTGCAGGGCATGCAGTTGGGGCAAGAAGTTGACATACACCTGGTAGAACAAGAACAGTTTTCCTCAAATGTCACAACTTCACTCATTCCTACCAACTTTTCTTTTCATGAGGACAGACAAGATGGGTCTCTACTTAATGTAAATGGTGTACTCCTCAAATAAAAACACCCAGAGACATGTACCAGTATATGATTCAAATTTTCATTTACTGACAAATCAAAACTTTACATACTCCAACCCTAATATGTAGTGCCACTTTCTGTATTTTTGGTCACATCTCAAGGTCGCAGTGGACCACTTTCTGAAAGTTTTTGAATGACAATAAGGGGGTAAATGCAAATTTTCACATTTTAGAAATATTAATATTTTGAACCAAAATAAATCTCTCTGAGTATTTCCAATTGAAGTACACACTATGGACATTAAGTTGAGATACAATTTGCTTGACCTCATGAAGAAAAAATTGAAAAAACTATTGAGGAAATCTGTTTTTCTGCCAATTGTATGTAAACTTTTTGCCCCAACTGTATATGTAGTAATACTGCTAAATTCATTGCTATCCGGTTGGTAAGTGACTTCGTCATACACACGGATATGCCACTGATTGCAAGCTTCCACAACACAAAACACTTTAAGTTGTACATTAATTCCAAATCCATGGTTCTATGTAACTCTATGTGCAATGGGGGTTGTTTAAACTGCTGTGACGTCACAATTACAGTATGAACCAGATACACGCCAAAAAGTGTACCTATACGCTCAGGGATTACGCTCCTGTACATTTATTTACAAGTTTTCCATCAAGGCCCAATTGAGGAACCCAATTTCAAAGAGCTACATGTCTAGCTTTTTTGGCTGAGCCATTTAATGTAAGCTACAGTTCTATGATGTCTACTCAAGCTTTGCATGCATCTCTTACATGTAGTACCTCCTACACACAAACCTTGGACAAACAAGTGAACTTACACAGCACATTTGGATGTCACTGTCCAACAAAATTTGGTATGATTATCAAAGACATCCACACTTGGTACAAAATATTTAATTAAAGCAACATGTTTGTTTTAATGTCACATATAAATATACTTGGCTTTGTGATTGGCATTATGGGATCATACATCTTTCAATGATGTAAACAGGAAGGTTACTTATACATTGTATGTATATGTACATCTTTAGTAGACTTAATTCAAGTCTGACAGTATACATTCAATGGCTATCATACCAGATCCATGTGTAATGTCATGCAAATAGCACTCAGGTGCCAGCATTTCTGTAAACATCCTTAGACACATTACTAGATCTATGCATACAGTCATGTAAGTCTATTATCACACCAAGCTCAGTGTAGTTTATCAAGATATTTACAATGATCTTAAAGTCTCTATGGAGTCACATTTCTAGAGAATCAGACATTGAAATCAACCCACAAGTCTTTGTTGAACCATTACTTATATCTTTACCTTTGCTATTACCTCCTGACGGGTCAAATATCATCTGTCTATGCGTTATCAGTTGACACAGCACACTGAAGCTGCTTTTTACAAATTCCTGAGGCTCAGTTCCTTATACAGACTCCACTGTACCCATAAAAGTTGGATTAAATAAATCTCAAAAGTGACTAAAAGAGAGTCGGCTTTCAACTTCTACTTGGTAGTGCAAAAACTGATGTCATTTCAGATGTTTTGCTTTTAACCTTGCATGTTATCACATAAAGCTTTAATGTCAATTCATTTTGCACGATAAAACCTCAGTTCTCCATGACACTCTTTGTTTCCATTCCACTGACCCATCAACTGTACCCATATTTGTCATCTGCTCTGTTAGTTTTAGTGAATACCTTCATATCTTCATGTCAGTTCCCAGTATGGTGTCAAGTTTGGCTTGTCACTGGGGTGAGCACTGGCCTTTGGGGTTGTTTGCTTCAGACACCATCCTCATCCCACTAACTGTCCTCTTCATCATCCTGTTGCTCTTCCTTCACCTTGAAGGACATAGTCTGCTTCAAGGTGAATCTTGTCGCCTGGATGCGCTGGACCTGTGAAGCAGACAAGCCTGACAGACTACCAAAGCTAGCTGTGGAGGCATTGCTACCAGTCCGCAGCAAGCTGCTGGGTGTGCTGGTAAAGATGGGTGGTCTTCTCAGATGTAGGATGGCTTTCCAAAGCTTCTCCCGGTGTTGTTGGGGCATGGTAATACCAGTAAAGTCCTGCTATCATCAACAAGAACAAAACTTCAGTTGGCTTATGTGCAGGACTGTATTCAAACACAGACATGATCTGAGCATGAGTCTACCGCTAAACTTTTGAGTCTGAGTGAGAGATCACTTCAGTGGAGTTTCCATCTCAAATGCAACTTATAAACGTTTGGGAAAAGTACTTTTTAAGATTCAATTGCAGCTTTTATGAGGTATCCGTTGCTTCTAGCAATAAGATGTAATGGAAAGCACATTAACAGGGATGTGAGTGGAACCTAAAAAAATCTGAAAATAGCCGAAATACTTAAGGGCCCTGGGAAACTTTTGAAATGTTGATGTGTTGTGGCACATTTTACAGCCTCCTAGGTCAACCATTTGTCATTTTTTCCTTGCCATTTACGCAACACATATTTCTAATTTTACTTTTTCTTCTTTTGTCTGAAATTCCTTATGGTTAAAATGAACTAGTAACAGGTAAATCAAAATTGTAAATATTGAGGTTTGTAAAGTGAGTTGGCCCTTTCCCACCTGATCTGACGTTTTCAAAATTTCAATTCTCTAAAGAATGCACATCAGACATCCAGGCTTTTGGATTTTCCGGGCACGGACACCGTCTATGGTGTTTTCATCCACATCCATTTCCGTGGATTTGTAACTTGAGGATCGGTCTTGTCAAAGACTGTATCCAAGTCAGAACCTCTTTGGATAATTGTACATTTGAGTTGCACTGATATTTCAATGGGTTTTATGTCCAAAATTTGTTTGAAAGCCCACAGAAAAAGAAGCAAAACTGCACCACAATGCATGACACAAGAACGTTCCACACCAGTTGGTACAAAGCCCTCTATCAGTGCAGCAAAAGCAAAACTTAACCCTAACACTCCTCAGTCCTCCAACAGGTGAAGGATTGAGGAGGGTTAGGGTTAACTAACCCTATTTCAAGCCACAAATTTACAGTGAAATGTGTGCTACCAAGCGTTACAGTGGAACTCGGTAGTCACTACTTCCGCTCACACAGGAATGGCTGCAAAGAGTCCCACTGACACATGTATGAATATTGATATTTCATTGGCAGCCAATCACAGCACAATGACCAGTGGTCTGAGGATGCTGATTACACACAATGCTTGCTCTGCGGCGAATGATAATGCACAGATTGGAATGAATTGTCCATGTATATGTACATCTACAGTGTTGTACATGTACTGTACGGTAAATTCAATCGCGTGCATTTAATATGCGTACTCAGCACTCCAGTAGTATACTGTTTGATGTTGGAAAGAGGACGTGCGAAGTTTGGCCTGACCATCACGTTTTGTCAGTAGAAACAGGGGAAAAAAAACACGGAAAAATTGACACTGGCAAAAGAAGAAAAACGAGGAAAATCTTGCCGTCAATGGCAAAAAGCGGAAAATGAAATTTGGCAAATTCAACCAAAAAAAACCGAAAATTGGCTAAAACGTGCAGATTTCACACCCCTGATTAACTTACAATACCTGCCACATCATTGCTGTTTTGAATGGAATTGTGAAATATTTTTGAATATAAATCTTTCATTTCTCTATTTGAGAAATCCCAGGTCAAGACAGTGACACTATCAGATCTTGCATCAAAGCTATCCCTAGTTATGTGGATACGTCTATTGTGTCATGTGTAATAAAATCTGGACCTAAACTGTGTGCATTAAGAGCTATAGGCATGTCAATCATCAGCCCTTCACAAGTAACAAACCCACTCACAGGTACTAGAGATGGCAAATGAAGCAAAGGAATGTTTTTGTCACAATTTATTTGAACAGTTTGTGAATTTAGACCAATGGACTTGTGAGGATGCCATAACAATTAAGATTTATTAACAACATTTCCAATCAAGCACATCCTCATTGTATGTCTAATGATTACTGCCTGACAATGCCTTGCTGGCAGAAAAATGAGTAAATGGCTGTCTGAAGATGGTCTTTTCACGTTACAGTTTCATCTTTTTTTATCATGAGTTCACTTGGCCAGTGCTTTGATTGAGATTGGGAAATAGGAACACGTTACTTTCTTGAGAGATGGCAGATGGCTGTTGGGCAACTGTGCAGAGGTTTCAAATGAATGTCTACACAGTACATGTGAAATTCTTTGTTTGTACAGAACCAGTTGCTTAGGACCAGTGAGCAACAAACGCCTTTCAATAACTGTTTCACATTAAGATATCAGTTACTCCTCAAACTCACCTCTAGGTTGATTTCATCAAGTTGGTCAATCGTGCGTACTCCTTTCTTGGTGAAGATATCAATATACTGCTGGCATCCAAGGCCTCCAAGCCAGCTGCAATGCAACACAAACACTACACAATAAATCAGTTGGAAACAACGCAACTAGTCTCCAAACTCGTCTGGTTTTGTATTGGACAGTGGGACTCCTCCCCACAGCAGTGTGGGAAGAGTCTGCAAACGAATACCTACCCTAAACATGCAAATTCCTTTGCACTCGATTCTAAACTTGATCAACTGTAGTGTGCCCTCAAGGCCCACGATGCATAGTGGCACCCATTGCCATGTTCGTCCTTTTTCGGAGCGTGAGGCCCGAGCCAGTGGGGGGAGGACGGGAGGGTTGTGACTGTTAGTGTAGATATTTGTTGGCAGACTTTTCCTACACTGCAGTGGGGGAGGAGTCCACTGCACGCAACCTACCCAAACATTCACTAAATATGCATAGCACCGTACCATGGAGGAGGGTAGGTGAGGAGACATTGAAAGTGTGTGTGTGTGGAATGATGAGGGTCTACCGCGGAAAGGAGACCATTGCTTACGGTGTAGAGCTGGAAGTAGCTCATGAGGTATGGGTCCTCGTATTCTTGGTGAAGAGGCAAGTGTAGACACGCCAGGAAAGAGCTCAATGCTAAATATTATTATTAAGTTGGCATTTTGTCATGCAGATAGTTTCCAAAAGACACTGCCAAAGGATGTTGGTACAGTATGCCAACCTTGCATGAAGACCATCATGTATGGAAGGAAGATAGTTGAGTCACATTTGGGCTAGGAGAATGTCAGTAGGTGAGACCTTATAAAGATGACAGAGGAACCAGGCTTACCAAGCTCGCCCTGGGGCCAAAAATGAGCTCTTGTGAAAGGGCCTAGGCTGAGGATGAAAGCCAAACTCAGTTAAATCGGAGAATGTATAAGGACAGGAATGAAGAGATTGTTTCAAAATCCAGGACAGCTGGTAAGCTGACATGTGATGCCAGAGTAAGCTTCAGTCTGAAATGTACATCTGTCTACAAAGCGCCAGTTGCCATAGTGTTTGATTGTAGGAATGGCTAGTTGGTGAAAGTAGGCGGTAAAGTTGTTAAGGAGAGGACTCGTAGGATACTGACAGAGTGACGGAGTCGGACCCCAAAACTTCCTATGATGTAGATGGAGTAAAGGGAACTTGCATTCCCACGGGTGGACTGGAGTGTGAAATCAGACAACGCCAGATCCACCAACGAACCTGGATTGAATCTGACAGGGGTTGAGTTACTGTAGAAGAAACCTCATGCATATGTAATAATTATCAACCAAGACTGGATTGAATCTGACAGGGGTTGAGTTACTGTAGAAGAAACCTCATGCATATGTAATAATTATCAACCAAGACTGGATTGAATCTGACAGGGGTTGAGTTACTGTAGAAGAAACCTCATGCATATGTAATAATTATCAACCAAGATTGGAGTTCAATCATGAGTTGGGCCTAAGGAAGGACAGACACAGGAATTCATCTGACTGGCTGAATACCTGCTAGAACCTTACTACTGTAAGTTCAGGCATTGAGGCCACTTAAGGAGTGGTTTAGTCATTGGTGTCAGACCCAAGGGGAGGAGGTAGCGTCGACATTCCCTTTAGGCCTGCATCTACCAGTACTGCCCATAAGGAATATAAATTTATTGCAATACATTACGGTTGATCAAATTAACACAGGAGCGTGCAGCAAAATGGAAAACTTGAGAATTCAAAGATGCCAAAAATCACACATCCATTAAGAATTACACTAAAAAAAAGAAGGATGAACATGGCGGCGGTGCTGCTACGCATCATGGGCCTAGAGGGCACACTACGGTTGATCAAGTTTTAAGTGAATAGAATCAAGTGCAAAGGAATTTGCATATTTAGTGACTGTTCGGGTAGGTCAAGTTCAGTGGACTACATTAACCCTAACAGTCCTCAATCCTTCACCTGTTGGAGGACTGAGGACTGTTAGGGTTAATCCTCAACTAACACTACTACATACTGAGGTACATACATTTATCTTCAAGCAACAGAGTTTAATCAATAAAAAAGCAATGAGCTTTCTGCTGTGGTTTGCAATTAGACTAGTTGGCTCACCTTCTAATGCTCCTATCCACAGGAGACACCTGACTGGTTCCTGCCACCTGGCTCAGGCCCATGTGACCCAACCCTGCTTGATCCTCTGACCTTTGACCGTTCGGAGAACTCTGACCTCCCAGCATCTGGCTGCTGGAGATTTCCTGTGAGGAGACCACATCATCGGTGAACTTGGGCTGCTGATCCACTTCCATGGCTGAGGGGCCATCACAGTGGTCTCGAACACTATTGGAGGTCACAACCTCAGCATGCGGTGTCTGATGACGGGCAAGAGTGTGTAAGGGCAAGGTCCCATGACGTTGCAAGGCAGCCATCTGGGATTCTAGGGACGGTTGACTGGGCAGGAGAGGGGGATTGTTGAGAGGGGAAGAGCCTTGCTGCTGGGAAGCACTGCTGGAGAACGAGTTGAATCGAGGCATGTTGGGAATTCTGCGATCAGAAAAAAAACCCGGAGGTGATCAATTAAAAGCTACAGCAACACTGGCAAAGCTTGGCTGGACACACACCTCTTTCCATGATTATACATGAACATACGTAATATTTATCAAGTCAGCAGTAATCATTGCATGATTGCTGCAATCAGGCTAGCATCACGATGATTCTCCATGAGGTATAAAGGACAATTGAAATGTGCTCATTTCCATCCAACCATAACCAGCTCAGCTTGTTACATTAACAGTCCCAAATCCTCCAATTTCAATACGATTTTACATACACCCTAGGGGGTTAGGGTTTTAAAGGCTAAAAAGTAACTTTGAAATACAAATGTACAGGTAGCACTTGGATATTTATGACCAACTGATGTTAAATGTTCAGAGGACTGAACTTGAACATTTGAGTTTGACAAGGTGGCAGTGATGTACTAAGAGTGGTGTGGAGATGTTCAAAGTGAAACATATTTCTATCATAATCCATTATTACATACTGCTGTCATTGGAAAGACATTTTATTAAAATCAAAGCCTACTTGTACTGCTTACATTTACGGCCGTTTTTTATAGCAGGCTTCAATCAATCAAGCAAGGTGTGCCTTGCAACAGCTGTCTCAAGTCCAGGGTGAAGCGAGTCCACACAGAAACCTCTCGAAACAAACTTCAAGTGCTATCTACAGCCCATCCTCACAAAAAACTACCTAAGGGTGGGTGAAGACTATGGTTTGGGGGCTTGTCATTGGAAACCCCACTGTCTGACCAAAATCAATGAAGAACTGAAAAAATCCCAACAACATTTAAAAAAAAAAACTGACCAATTAAACAGCATTGCAGGCACTGTATCACTGAGCCCTGCTAGTCTGTAGTGTCTGCAAACTTAAGTTGATGAACATCTCTGCAGTACTATCCCTTTAAAAAATCTCAAATCTGCTGTCACTCTCAATTTGGTGATTAGTACCTCCAGAAAAAAATACATGTAACCAGAGCTGTATAGATAGAGAGATAGAAGCGGAAGCCTCAGATTTTGGGGGAAAAAATGACTATTCATTACGCGTACAGTAAAGCGTATACCAACTGTCCATGTGCACTGGCGGATAAACATGCTATTTTGTTTCCAACAAATATGGGAAGTACATCACAACTCTCTCTATACATGGCTCTGTTTTTAAGTCCCCACACCAACTAAAGTAAAAAACAATTGCAAAACCTAAGTCTCAACACACAGCTCTTAACACCGAGGTTATGGATAATAAATTGAATTTATTTATATGCAATTCGAAGATTTCATCACACACATTATATATAAATTTACAAATAAATGAAATGATCCATAATCAGCCCACTGGTATGTTTATCCATGTACAAGTACAGACATGTGTGTAAAATGGCAGCTTGGCTTTCTGCAGGTTATAGAAATATGTACATGTAGGTTTGATTTATTTGAGTATTTTGTACCCTTATGTATGCGTATGTACACATCCAAAGGACCATACTTTATACAGTGACATACAAGTTAATGATAAAAACTGCTCCAATTTTTATGGCAACAATTACATGTATGAGTGAAAAACCTGCTACCGGTAGGCAGTAACTTGATATTTATAACCTACAAATACTAGGTTATCAATAAATTCATATCATTTGTATGTACTGTATATGTACACCGTTTAGGAGATATATGTAAAAGTCAAACTCCCAAAAGCCAACCAACCAGGTTTGGAGTGTAACTTTAGTTTATCAAAATATCTTCCTGGAGTTGAAGAACATATACCAGCATGGTAATTATTTCATGTACCGGTATAAACAAACACAAGTCCACAAAAACAGTGTGAAATGTGATGCTCAAAGCCTACACACTACACTGACGCAAAATATGTGACTTTGCCAGTTAATTGGTGTTTTCCAACATGCAACTGTCATTTCATGTTGGTTTTGGCGATTGGTAAATTTTGCATCATGAATCCAGACAGACAACACAACATACTGGTTCATTTCATGAACAAAACAAAGTTCTGCTCTTCCAATTGTGACAGTCTACAACAGTTGATTTCAATTTTTAACATTGTCTTTTTCATTGGCTATCATTTGGTACATCTCAAAAGTATCTTGTACATTCATGCTAAAAGCATTCAGCAACAGCAGGTGCAATACGCTAAAACCTAACTCCACCAAATAAGTGGGAAGGAGTGTTATCATTGTTTCATGAAAGCACAACGGGACAACCTGTCACTATAATATTAGTTTAAGGTCTGTTCTAGAGACAGACAAATGACCAACAGGAATTAGGGCAACCATCCTCATCGGAGACTAACACCCCTGACATGAGTGACAAAGCACAGGTGTTCATGCTACTCAATTACTTAGAATTTCTCCACAGGATTATTTTTGCCCTTCTAAATCCTTCTGTTGAAAGTTTGACATGCCACACTGTATGCATAATACAGTTTCACAGTAGGATTCTTTCATGGCAATTAAGATGCTTATTTTAGTTCCTACATGTGGCACACACAGCACTTGACAAAAGGCAAGCTGGTCTGATTCCCAGCCCGCCACTGCTCAAGTCTTTACCAACAACTACATGTAGTCAACAGCTCTTCCAAGTTTTTCATGCTTAGTAATTCAGTGGTGGGAACAATTAAAAAATTTCTTGGAAATAATGACTTGGTGCAGAAAGCTGCATGAAAGCTAATCATCCAGGGAGATATCATTGGTCTTGATCCAGCAATCAAGTTTTTCTACTGCATGTATCTTATTGGTCAACATCATGATCAGTAGCATCTTCTCTGTAATAAATATGAACTTGCTGCCAAAATCAGTAGCTAATTGAAGAGAAAACAAGGAAAGAATGAAAAGACAAAAACAAGTTGGAAAAGATTACTTGTGCAAGCTGGTGGTAAATTGAATCACATGCTGACCTCATCTCAAGTGCAAAGCCTGCTGCATGTAGCCCAAAATTCAATGATCACACCAATTGACTCGACTGAAGGCTAGGTGGAGAATGAATAAAGGTCCAAACCTGCTATATCTGAGTTTATCACAAGAGAGACTGTACAGAGGTTGTGACAGTCATACATTTGAGAATTGACTATGGGTAGAAGGGAACAGGCAAAATCAGAGGGGTTCAAAGGCTTGCAAGATTGAAGAATTAAGCAAGGACTTTAACTCCATGTTCATGTTCATTAAATGGCAGATTATAGTAGGGTTTATAACCACGCATACTGGTTATAAAATGACAAGAAACTACTTTTCACGTCTGAAAAAGGACCAGTCTTAACTGACTAGATGCAAAATCCGAACTGTTCCATTATATACACATATTTCTCTCAGGTATCAGAAAATCCACCTCACTGGGACAGGATATGAAACTTTTTCAAAACAACCCATTAATAAATAAAAACAGAAAGAAAAATCCTTATAAGCAAGGAATATTCATCTGAAAAAAGACAGTTTTCATACATGTTCACCTACATATTTGTCTAAAAACAACTGAGTTTGATGGTGTGAATTGCCAGCTAAACTGTTATGTACAAGTTACCGGTACATGTAGCCACAGAATACTGCAACGTGTATTACAACCCTTTCAATAAATTTGGTCCCTTTCTCGTTGACATTAAGACTCATAAGCCTTTGCAACAATGACCAAGCTAAACCCTATGTAGAAAAACTTCAAATATCAATCCTGATAGTGCTACAAGTGATAATAAATAAGATCCAAACAAAGACATGTAGGGTATATTACGCATACATGTATTTAAGAACACATGTACGTACATATAACATAGGGAAGAAGTAATAAATTACAATTAGAAACCACAGCAAATTAGTGGCAATATACATGTACACATGTACAATGTTTTTTTGCAAGAACATGAATACAATTCAATTTGTAGAGACATGCACTCTAGTACTAGTTTCTGAGATGATCTCCTTAAGATGGGGTTTTAAACAATGCATTTTCAATGCGTTTAATTCTGTATAATATGCAGCTTTTGTATGAAATGCTTAAAGTAAACCCATTGATTCAAATTTCACCAACAGGTACATGTAGAAGACATGCCTGCACTCTGTGAAATACTGTACTGTACTTTTGCACCTAGCAATCGTCCCCCCCCCACCCAAAGCACTCACCCCTGGCTTTGTGTCGCAGTTTAGTGTCTCTAATGAAAGCATGATTACCACTGACACACCACATAAGATGGCTACCTTCGGGGAGGGGGGTTTTATCACTTCAAGTAACAATCTCTACATCTTGGGTGGGGTGGGGGGGGGAATTGATAGGCACATTTATGTATTGTTCACTAGGTAACTCCTGGGTTTTGTGGCCTTATTCAACTTTTATTAAACTGTGGTATTGCGAACTGGTAGACTTGTGGAATGTACATGTATGAACACAAAAACGGAGACAACCATCGGATAACTCCCTACTTGTTTGAATCTGTCATGTCTGTGGCTCTGGCAAGTGGTGGAAGGCTGGTGATCCTTTAAAAGTGATGGATGAAACCAGAGCGTGTGGAGGGAATTATACAGTCAGGATGAATGTTTCACTCTTAACATTCTGTATCAAACAAGACTGGGCCAGCGATGATTATGCCATCATTTGACATGTGGTTACACGTGTCTGTTCACAAAACTCAAAAGGAAGAGAGGTAATGACAAGATAACTTGCTTGCTGGCAGCTGAAAATATGACGCTGTCATGACAGCTAATATTTTGAGGGAAATTAATATCTGCACGTCAGCTGTTTGAACAATCCAAACCATAATGGACCAAGTAACTGATGCACAAGAGTCCAACAGGCAGGATATTGTCCAACCCAGCTGAACTGTATAAAGATATTGCTTTCAATGGTTTTCGACAACTAGCCTCCTAGGGCCAGCTGTAAGGCATTTTCCCCCCAAAATCTTTAAAAAAAAGGACAAAAACCACTCCCTGATTTTTTCATTAACGAAAAAGACTTTCACATGTCAAAAATATATGAAAACCTGGGCTCTACCAAGATGGTGTTGGTTTAGTCAACTGGAAACGAAAGCTCTGAAAATACAATGCACGGATCTTGCAATGATACAAACCTATGGCAGACTGGATCACAGAGCCAGTCAACAGTTGGTCAGAACTCACTGGAGGTACTGGGTGTTGAAGCATGACAAGGCTTTGCATCATCATCCCATCATTTGCACTTTCAAAAAGCAGCAGCATATATGTAATATACAATGTACATCTTTACAACATTTGGTTTACGAACGAGTGGACTACAGATAACTTTGGGCTAACACATGTTATTGTCTCCATCCCAGCCTGGTATCCATTGCAGTTTACTAGGAACATTTTTCGTAAGATGTCATTGGAGCTTCCCTAGCAATAATAATAGACTATTGGTTTCTAACACCGTCCTGACTATCCAAGCATGACAGACACTTGTTTGAATCATGATGTAGGAAAGTTGAGTCACACCCAATTCAGATTGACATACAAAAATCACGCAAATATCTGCAAGATTTGAATTCCGTGCACATGTTGGGTACACAAGATCCTCAACACATAACAGGAGTTCTGGCATGCTGATCAACAGTTGAAGAATGCCAAATTTCAGACGTCACTGTTAAGTGAGCCAAACTCAATGCAAATTAATGTAATACATCATTTAAAAATTTGACCTGACGACATCCAAAGGCACCCCCATTATGGATGCAGATGATGACAACAAAAAAGTTTCTTTGAAATTTTTGGACAGAAATTGTTAAGCAAATTTAGCTTGTGGAATAAATTATGCTAAAACCAATGTTTAGGGTCTCCTCCTTTTCTCTTTGTACCAAAAATGCTCAATCTACATGTATATAGCCGTTTTTAGTTGTCAGCTTTCATGTTTCAATTTTTAAAAATGCACTCGATTAAAAAAAGGATGCAACCTCTCACTTGTTGACAGTGTTGTGAGAAGTGATGCAGCAAAAAGCTAAGTTGTTTCTTCAAATATTCTCCACTGCAGTTCTTTGGATAGCTTGTTTTAGTGTGCATGTAAGAAACCAAAATCTCTTTGGAGCGATTTAAGACTCTCTTTAGACTGTTCAGCTCTGTGACATTCTCATGTAACTGTCGGTAATGGGTGCCACAAATCTATCTCTGACTGCCTCAGTGTTATCCTGGACTATACCCGAACATGTCAGGACTGTGGAATATTGGTGAGCATAACAGTTCAGTTGTACTGGACGTGACAGCTGAAGTAGGATTACGACAGGAAGCACAGGCCAGCAACCCATCAGTCCACACATTTTGTTTCTCTGCCAGTCACTGCTCCCGGTTTCACCCGTTGGAGGGTTTTGAGCACCTTCCCAAACCTGGAACATTACAAGCAGAGAAACAAAATGAGTGGGTATGGGTGTGCCCTCCCATGCATGGAAGCCATAGGGGATATTCATTTGGAGCTCAGACAGAAAACAAGAGACAAACTCCCTCCCTGAACAACAGTACATCAAAGCTAGGAATCAAACGGCTCCACTTTATGGGTGTTGCTATTCTCACATTTCCAGAGGCAGTTAAACAGTCCCTTGGATCATCTCTAATGATCACAGGTATTAGAACAGACATCCAGTTTCTCTCTTGGCCATATTCAGATCAGGACCATAATAATAACACACATTTGTAAAGCGCCATCTTATAGAAAACTATTCCGAGGTGCTGATTATCATTATTCATGCACATTGAGTTCACATCATCTGAACATTCCTGAACCAATCTCAGCTCCCTGAGCAGTATACACGTGTACTAGTCCAATGCTGCCAAATTGACGCAAACAGCTAAACATAACCGTGTCTGTCCTCACAGGCACCCATTTAGGCACATGTAGGGGTAAGGTGACTTAACCAAGATCGCAACATGCTGCCACCAGCTGGATTCGAACCCCTGACCCTTTGACCTGAAGCTACATGTACAAACCCTAACCACTACGCCACACACCCCTAGAATTCTGACCCCTCAGTATTGACACACTTGCTAATCAGGCTTCAAGACTATACCGCTCAATGTCAGTCAGTTTGTGTCAGTATTACATGAGAAGTCAGAAATCGGAGGAAAAGTCAGAAAGAAAACTGCAGAAATATGTTATTCCACGAACGAATTACGGAATAAAATCACACACGTACCCAATGTGTCACAGCACTTTACTGACAAACAATACTTCAGTTTATTTCATTTAGATTTTTGAATTATCCAACAGTTAATCTCAGGTCCAATTACCCACAACCCTAAGTCCATCTTGGCATGGTCTGTGATGTAAAAGGATGACCTCAAGGGAGTACTCCTAAATGCTCCATTCAATGCCACATCATTCCTCCAATATATAGACCAACAGACATTGCACCAGTCGCTGTACTCCATGGAGCCATCCCAATTTCTGGGGCTGTGCTATCATGCCTTGCACGTTTTCAGTATTTGTGAGATAAAATATGCAACTTTTTAATGTTACAACATGTATCATGATAAAACTCACAATACATATCATAGTAACAAAATGGCAGTCCCTAAACTTCTGTTTGACATGCATAGCATTTGCCATGCTATGCTATGCCATGCATGTCCGTACATGTACTACATGTACATGTTTGATTTTATATTTGCAATGGTTGCTATGTGAAGCTGCTACAGCTGTTTATTTTGAGATATCTATTCAACTAAATAATAATCAGTTCATAATTCCATGAGTCAGATTTTTAGAGCCTGAAATTGTTGTTTTTGTCACAACATGTTTATAGCCAAGTATTTTGATGCATATTGTTTGCTGTGTGACATGTCATCAGGGAATTCTTGTATCTTTATAGGGTTGACTTTCTTGTTTCCATTTTGGCATAATTGTTTGCAGACTCAAGTTTTCAAAATTATCACATCACACTGTTGTAGTCAACCCCATCACAAGTCCTTTCACAAGGTCAGTCATAAGTGATAGGACGACCAATGACAAAAGAATGCTTTTGTCACAGTTCATTCGAACAGCTTGTGAACTGGCTTTAGACGGGATGACTTGTGATGGACTTCCAGGGACTTGCAGGGACATGCAGGGATTTACAGAGACATACAGGGACTTGTATGGACTTGCAGGGACGTGCGTGGACTTGCATGACTAGCAGAGACTTACAGGGGCTAGCAGGGACTTCCAGGGGCTAGCAGGGACTTGCAGAAACTTACAGAGACTTACAGGGACTTGTGATGGACTCGACTACAATCAGCATCTGGTAGTTCCAAGAGTTTACTTCAGTAATCAATGTCTTGAAGCCACCTGTCAGCATTAGATATCGCATGCAACCCACAGCAGAGAGAGTACACAGTCAGCACTTACCAGCACACTGTGACCCTTGAAAAATTTAAAGGCCTTTTTCATATGATATCCCCTTGCCCAACCACCCCATTAGTTCATCCAAGGGGCACTCACTGTTGCTGAAGTCTTGCTTGCTCTGCCTTGTGTTGGTTACGTTGATCCTGGGTGACGTAAGACATCAACTCAAGTGATTCCTTGATACGCATCAGTATCTCATAGTTGGCACGCCCTTTCACCTAAAGGAAAATTGAAATATTAACGGACTGATTGACTTTTGAAGTTACAGGCCCACAGAATTATTTGAACTTTAGCTGAATAGAGAAATATCACAGCCAACCTCACTTAAAGAAATAACAACACTTTCAATAAAATATCAACCTTGAGCTTTCCCACTGTCAAATCAGCTGGACTGACTTACCATGATGCAGTACACTTCCTCATCAGGCTTCTTCCTTTTGCCTCCGATATGAGTAACACTGAACGACTGAGACATTTTACTCTGTCCTGTGGCAAAATTGAAAAGGGATAAAACTCAGAACAAATTTGCGACAAAACTTCTGCCAACTATTCTCTCAAGGTTTTGAAACAAATCAGCCGGCCAGCAAGCTCTGCCTACATGTACTTATTCCCCATCTATACCTCTTCTCCAATCTCATCTGAGAGGGGGAGGTTCTGACACTGATCAATTAGCCAGCAGGTTCTTCCTGTTTATTTCCCCTCCTTACCCCTCTTCAATGGTTTCTTGCTCTGTTTGTCAGATTGATGTTTCTCTTCTCCCTTCCGGTCTCTCCCTGGACAAGCACAAACCCTGACATCAATCACCTGCCTTCCCAGAACTTGGCCACTGCAGAATACCAAGATACCACAAGGGAATTATATATTACTTTCTTACCCAGAGTTGGAAACCTTTAGTATTTTGCTACATGTACCAGGAGCTGTACTAGGAGAAGTAGTTAGCATTTAGATGACTATCAATCTCAATGCATGCCATCACTAAATTAAACTATGTATTTGGCATTTGAATTCATTAAATAAGTGGTCACATCACCAAAGATGTATAATACATAAGACTAGTTGCAACAATGGTAATGTCATGTTTTCTTTGAGGTAACATGGGAACGAGTTGATGTGCCAAGACTTCGCAGCAATATCAAATGCTGTAGAGCTTATTATCTGGTCTCGTCTACAATGTACATGTAAATGACAATATGACAAGTTTGATGATGCTATGCTAAGGCTGGTCACCTTTAAGAGGTCAAGAATTCGATGCATGAAGGGACCAGGCTGAAGACAGCAATTTTATCAGAGAAATAACAAAACTAGACAAAGGTTCAATGGAAGAAAGAACAAGTTTTGGACTTCTCTTCCTGAGTATGTACTTGTTTTCCAGCGTGAAGACGGTCTGTATCTGCCTCCTGTTCAAACCTCCAACACATGATAAGAAGCACTTGAAGGTCAGGAGGTAGGTAGTATGCTCCGTGCCCACCTGGGGCATGTTATAGGCCATCATCACACTCATTCTGCCTGTTGTTGGGTCTTCCTCATAGATGGCACTGGGATCGGAACAAGTGATGAGATGATGGCCAGAGAGTTCTGCAAAAGAAATGTTGGAACATTTGATGGTTAAATACATTCCAGGAAGGTAATTACCAACTTAACAGGTGACACTTAACTTCTGCTACAAAAAAGGTTGTAAATTGAAAGGAATTGTCCTGAGAATGACACACATGTACCTGCCAACAATCAAAAGTCATTGAAACACCAATTGTAGGAGCCCACGGCAAAACAAGCAGCCGGGTGAGAGAAGTTGTCTTCATGTACGCACATGTATGTACGTGTGTGTAATAACTGCCATTTTGACGCAGCAAATAGCATCGTCTTTTTTTGCAAATAGCCCCCTCCTTCTGCTGGGAGCTTTTCATCTACAGATCTTTTTCCTTCTTGTGGAAATCAGAGCGTTCAAATTTTTTTGGCCTTTGAAAATTTGAAAAGTGGAACAGTTCCAATTAAATTGGTATCACAATCTATGTGACTATTTCATCAGGCCCATTTATCGGTACATTTTGACAAGTGAGGCTCACCGATGGCAGTGTTACAATGAAATAACACAAAACTATGAGAGAAGTGCAGCAACTTTTTCTTAACCACAACTGCCTCACAGGTGGATTATGTCTGACGGGCTTTACCATGAGCAGAGCAGAGAGGTTACATCTATGAGGTTCATTTTTAATTTAAGTTAAACTGACTTTTGAACTTTTCCACAACATTTGAGACAAGTATGAGTTGTCTGACCTCCTGACGGGCCTGTGTGGTTGGGACACCTGCGGACAGTCTCCTGAATGTATTCTGGCTTCTTGAAGATAGGCATGGCCCTGATGTAGCTACCTGCCGGTGGCTCATGGGTGGTCTTAAACATTATTGGACAAGCCTTGTCCTTGTCTACAAACAACTTCTTGAGCGTCTGTGAGTACTGCAATCAGATCAGAATGACATGAGACAAGAGTCATCAAGTACACCGCCCAATGCAATGGTGGCAGGATCAGAATTCAGAGTATTTTGGTAAGCCTTGTTTGCAAAACAGAGAAGTCTTTTTTAATGGAGTGATAAATCTGAAGAAACTGAGCTGACATCATAAATATAACAGTAGTCTGAACGTAGAAAAATAGGTAAAAAAGCAACATGCACAATGCAAAAGTTCATCCTTGATCATCATGTGCATAGCAGGCATTTGGACAATAAATACCTCCAGTGCACTACGTGACTTATACTTGAAAGCAATCATTTTCCATGATTTTGTATATGACATCCACCAGGAAATTCAACATTCGTTTTGTGCATGTTTCAGTGGACCTTTTTTGCTCTAAATTGCCTTAAATGCTACAGAATTTGTACTCTTTGTCCACATGCTTTCTTGACCCAGTCAAACTCTCTGTAAACATTTTGTACAAGCTACATGGAAGTCATCACAACTCCATCAAATTCAACTCTATTGTACATGTACCAGTACCATAAAGGAACATCCTCTGTACTTGCTTGGGAGAACTCAGGCCCTTAATGAAGCGACAATGGTTCAGCTCCACATTCTGAAGTCTATTTAAAATTGGCAATGAATTTTGATGTTTCAGAATATTTCAGGATTGCCACTTCCCAAAATTAAACACAAGAAACTCCTTTTACTGCCTCACCATCATACATGTACATGTATATCTGTTTTTAAATACATTCTGTGTGATGGCCATAAGGCAGACAGAACAGTTCTTAGTTTAACTGATGAATACTGAAACACGATATATTTTATTCTCCCTCTGATTGCCGGAGAAAAGAAATATTATACGGGTGTGGAATCTGTGCTTTGTTAAAAATACAAGTATGTAGAGAATTTGATCCTTACTGTCCAGATGCATGCACGTACAGTACATGCATGTGCTGGATTTCAAATTCTACATTTGCCTATCAGAATTACACACTGCAGGACAGATGGCCATAGGCAGAGACCATGATCATTGTGGAAAGAATCATCAAGCTGCTACATCAATAAGAACATGGCATGGCAAGCCTGATGGTACCGGGTAAATGAGCCAAACAAGGACACTCTGTGAATTGGTAGCAAGACTAGAACATTCCACTGCAGTACTTCGTTTCTCAGAAAATATCTGCGTACAACATACTGAACCAATAAGGTAACCTTTGAAGCTATCTGCACTGAAAAGTACCGGTAATTTAAGTAATTAACCATAACATAAGTATCTTACACTGACCGCAGTAATGGATCAGGTTTGAGCAGCTTGTTACTCACATTACTAAAAAGAAAATCCTACCGGTAGAAAACTTTCACAAGTTTTTATGGTACATCTGAATTGTATGTCCACACCTTTTTTATTAGATGCATTCAAAACATGAAATACAGTGTATGTCTTCCAGTAGCATGAATCTGTATCATAGCTGTACAGGAGCAATGCCAATGATTTGATATGATATCATCAAGCAGCCATATGTTCACTTACTGTCCAGCTGACACTTTTGGCAGCAGTTGAGGTTGGCTGGCCAAGGTAAATTTCAAATCCATAATCTCCTGTATAGTCCACACTAAAATAAACATTCACAGAATTAGTATGAACATGCAAGAACACAAATTTACTCACGTGTAACCATATAATACCTGTACAA